CTGTGCTTCTTTCTGCGACGAGACTGTACACTGCGAATGAACTTTGCCTCTTCAGGTACACAAAGCAACACAATGAAAGTAGCTGACGCGGTTGCTTGGGCGAGTTGGTACGACATGATTCACATAAAAACCTCTGTTTTTACATGAATTTATATGAATGGCGCTGTTTTTATGTGCAACACAATGAGTTCTGTTCGCAGTTATTAGCTTTGAACTTCACCAGCTTGGGCAGCAAAACGTGGTCAACTTGCTCGCGCTCGAGCTGACACACACACCGTACAATGCAGAGTCATGTTCACGGCTAAACGTTAACTTGTTCAATATTTCGTCAGGTAGACGGAGATTCACACACACATGCTGAACTTCGGTGACAGCGTCGACTGCGTCAGATGTTTTGACCTCACGAATATCGGAAATTTCGAGCTCATGTTGCTGCACGAGTACTTCGGGCTCTTGTCTGCTGACTGATTTGCGCATCGCCGTTTCGTAGCTGGTCCGTTCTGCTCACATTTATTTCGGTCCTTTCTTTTTAGGGGTGCTTTTTTCGTAAAGTACTTCGTTGCGTCCGGGAACACCATAGGCACAGCGTCGTCCGATAAACTCGGTCGATCACGGGGTATCTCTAAAACCTCACCGTTTACAACGTGCCGGTATGTTCTTCCAATGAAGCTCTCGTCGATGTGCCACTCGCATACGACGCTGTCTGTTGTTAGTTCTTTGTCAGCCCGCTTAATATTACGAGCCTATTGCTGACGTCTCGAGGGATCCTTCGGGGCCTTAAAGACCGATAGCTTTTTTGAGCACGATTGATACCCGCCTTCACAGCCAGGCACGAAGAATGTACTTGAACGGCTGGAAGGCATGATCAGCAAACTGACCATGCGCTGGTTCGCAAAAGACGTGGCCAGATAAACAATGACAGCGAAGGCGAAGCATCCGAACAAGGCAACGGCACAGCACAGAGAGATCGAACGAGCCCACAAATCACCTAGCCGAGCACTTGTTGCTACAGCAGCGCCCCTTGCGACGAACAGAAGTTTCACTGCGTCCCGCGCGCCCCTCTTTTAAGGCAAGAATGCAGCGCATGTCACACTTACCTCCTCTAGCCACCATAGAATTAGTGTATGTGCTACCTTTAGACAAATTACACTGGACTTACGTCACGAAAATGCGATGGAGCTGTCTTGGTATGCAAAAGATGGTATGTCTACTGCAGTTTCTGCTGGAATTTCAATGGTGCATGTAGTGTTCTCAGATAAGCAACGAGAAAAAAAAACGGTATGCCGACGAGCTGCGTAACGGTCGCACGTGAGTCGCGTCTCACAACTTGCTTTTGTTTGTTAGTGAACATTGCAGCCCTCAGCGCTTATGGCTTTCACAACGTTTATGGGGTCTCACAACGTCGTTTTGTTGGCGCACATTGCAACCCTCAGCGCTTATGGTGGAAGTTACGTGTGGACGTCGCTGTAATTCTACCCATAACGTCTCGGCCTACCTGTGTTTACAAACATGGAGTGGGTCTTTAGGTAGCATATACTACCTAAAAATAGCATATACAGTTAGTCTAGTTTGGTACGCGCTTGCGTTTTCCGCAAACTTTTGTGGTTGACTGTAAATTCTGGCGCTGCTCAGACAGCGCACGCCCTTCGTTATCTCCATCGTTTTCTCGCTCCCCAAGCACGAGCACCCCCCTGATTATACTCTGTTTCGTGAGTTTCGTGCAGCAGAGTCAAAGCTACGTGATCCTAGAGCGCAGATTCTGGCGAATTAAGATTACCCATGTTGAGAACCCGGTGCACGTGCTCATATAACCCTTCACGAGCAGTCTCATCAGAAGATTTTCACTTGGAGGCTTCGCCGCCGTTTGGAACTACAATCAGCCTGGCGATTTTGCCCCATTTGTCATATAAAACAATTTTGTAGCTCTATGCTAAAAAAAAGACTTCTTGCTTTTTGGTTTATAACATGAAAATGGCGAAATAGCACAACTTTGCCTCGTATAGAATTAGTTTTACGTACAAGCTATGTGAATCATCATCATCAGCCTGACTACGTCCACTGCAGGACAAAGGCCTCTCCCATGTTCCGCCAGTTAACCCGGTTCTGTGCTTGCTGTTGCCAATTTATACCCGCAAACATCTTAATCTCGTCTGCCCACCTAACCTTCTGTCTCCCCTTAACTCGCTTCCCTTCTCTGGGAATCCTGTTAGTTACCCTTAATGACCAGCGGGTATCCTGTCTACGCGCTACATGCCCGGCCCATGTCCATTTCCTCTTCTTTATTTCAACTATGATATCCTTAACCCCCGTTTGTCCCCTAATCCACTCTGCTCTCTTCTTGTCTCTTAAGGTTACACCTACCATTTTTCTTTCTATTGCTCACTGCGTCGTCCTCAATTTAGGCTGAACCATCTTTGTAAGTCTCCAGGTTTCTGCTCCGTAGCTAAGTGCCGGCAAGATACAGCTGTTATATACCTTCCTCTTGAGGGATAGTGGCAATCTACCTGTCATAATTTGAGAGTGCTTGCGGAATCTACTCCACGCCATTCTTATTCTTCTAGTTACTTCAATCTGGTGGTTAGGCTCTGCGGTTATTACCTGCCCTAAGTAGACCTATCTCGAAGCGCTGCTCTTTTCCGAGGTTGTTGTACATTACTTTCGTTTTCTGCAGATTAATTTTAAGAGCCACCTTTCTGCTCTCCTTGTCTACCTCCGTAATTATGAGTTGCAGTTCGTCCCCTGAGTTACTCAGCAATGCAATGTCATCGGCGAAGCACAGGTTACTAAGGTATTCTCTATTAACTTTTATCCCTAACTGTTCTCATTCTAGGCTTCTGAAAACCTTCTGTAAGCACGCGGTAAATAGCATTGGGGAGATTGTGTCCCCTTGCCTTACACCCTTCTTGATTGGTATTCCGTTGCTTTCTTTATGAATCACTATGGTAGCAGTTGATCCCCTGTAGATTTCTTCCAGGATGTTTATATATACTTCATCGATGCCCTGATTCCGCAGTGTCTGCATGACGGCTGATATGGCTGCTGAATCAAACGCCTTCTCGTAATCTATGAAGGCTATGAATTCTCTCCATGTTATACCTTCTTGCATCGCATACTTTACGCCTATTAATCAACTTCGAAAGCTCTACCAGTTCTATTTTGTCTGTTGTACTTGACACTTTCATGCTTTGACGCTTCTTAATTAGGCTCTTCGTTTCCTGGGAAAGCTTTCCAGTGTCCTGTCTAACTACCCTGCCTCCAACTTCCACTGCACACTCCGTAATGATACTCGTTAGATTATCATTCATTGTATCTACGCTAAGGTTGGTTTCCTCACTAAGAGCCGAGTACCTGTTCTGCAGCGACACTCTGAATTCCTGTACTTTCCCTCTCAGTGATAGCTCATTGATTGGCTTCTTGCGTATCAGTTTCTGTCGTTCCTTCTTCAAGTCTAGGTTAATTCGAGACCGTACCATTCTATGGTCACTGCATCGTACCTTGCCAACCACTTCCACATCCTGCACGATTCCTGGGTGTGCAGTCATTATAAAGTCTATTTCGTTCTTATTTTCGCCATTAGGGCTCCTCCGTGTCCACTTGCGGTTTTCTCGTTTTCGGTAGAAAGTATTCAAAATCCGCAAATTATTGCGTTCTGCGAATTCTACTAGTAGCTCTCCTCTGGCGTTTCTAGTGCCGATGCCATAATCTCCTACTGCCTGGTCTCGAGCCTGCTTCTTCCCTACCTTTGCATTAACGTCGCCCATCACTATAGTATACTGTGTTTTTACCTTACTCATTGCCGATTCCACGTCTTCATAGAAGCTTTCAACTGAAGCGTCATCATGGCTGGATGGAGGCGCGTAAGCCTGTACTACCTTCATCTTGTATCTTTTATTCAGTTTAATTACAATACCTACCACCCTTTCATTAATGCTATAGTATTCCTCTATGTTGCCAGCTATGTTTCTGTGAATTAGGTACTGCCTCCCAGTTCTCTTCTGTCTGCCAAGCCCCGATAGCAAAGGGCGTGCCCATTCTGTAGCACAGTATAGGCCTCATATGTCCTCCTAACCTCACTGAGCCCTATTATATCCTATTTAACACCCTCTAGCTCCTCGAATAGTACAGCTAGACTTCCCTCACTAGATAAGGTTCTAGCGTTAAACGTTGCCAAGTTCAGGTTCCAAAGGCGGCCTGTAGTCTAGAGATTCTTACCACCCTCTACTGCGTTGCAGATCTGGCCGCCGCCATGGTCAGTTGCTTCGCAGCTGCTGGGAACTGAGGGCCGTGAGTTATTTGACGTATGCATGTGGGAGGTAGTTGCCAGATACTGCACCAGGGTGGCCAATCCTTCTCTGGTGAGGGAGTGCGCTCCTGGCGGTGGTTACCGGTGAGGCCGCACCCCAGGCCGCTTCATGCAGTTCCATCAACACGCGGATTTTTTTTCGGTTGGGAACTGCGCGGCACCGGGATTTGAACCACGGACCTCTTGCATGCGAGGCGGATGCTCTAACCACTACGCCATCGCCGCACCCTGCTATGCTATGCGAATGACATTGCATAAAATGTTATATGTAGTCTGCATGTTCTTCAGTTCTATAGAGAAACCAGCATTGAGTACGAAAAAAATAGTTGCACTGCCAGAAACAGTTGTCGCCCACCTCGAATATATCAAGTTACCACTGTACGCTCTGTATCTCGTAAGCTCCAAATGTTTTCATTTGGTTTGAATTCATCTCCTGAAGCATAGACAACACAGCATTTGTGCCCGTTTGACACCGTTTTTGAGAGCCACACTAAAGAAAACTGATTTTGTAGGCTTAGCGCATGGCGATAGGTACGTCTCAAATCTCTGAGGGCATACATTATGCATTTTCTAGTTTTTAAACTCGCAGAATTTCTTTCCACACTGCATGCGTGCATCCATCTATCTATCTAGCCACCTACGTTTAGGCGCTCTCATGATGACCCCTTAACATGTGGTAAACCAAGCATTTGTTCAGCGGTGGTGGTGGCGGGCGGACGCTCGGGAGACTGATTTCTTCTATCTTGCAGGAAACCACACGGACCTCCCACGCTTCGTGCAGACCCCGAGCTGTCCCAAAAGGAACAGGCCAACCTGGAAACATCGTTTTTTCATCTCTGAGGAGTGGCAACTCAGGGTTTCCGAGTTCTTCGGATTTGACAGCTCTGGAACTTTGACAGTGCTGACATTACGTGGGCCTCGCAATCTTCGTGACGTCATCGAGCTGTGTAAAAGAACGAAGCGCATCAGATACCATCGCATTTGTTCAGCGGTGGTGGTGGCGGGCGGACGCTCGGAAGACTGATTTCTTCTATCTTGCAGGAAACCACACGGACCTCCCACGCTTCGTGCAGACCCCGAGCTGTCCCAAAAGGAACAGGCCAACCTGGAAACATCGTTTTTTCATCTCTGAGGAGTGGCAACTCAGGGTTTCCGAGTTCTTCGGATTTGACAGCTCTGGAACTTTGACAGTGCTGACATTACGTGGGCCTCGCAATCTTCGTGACGTCATCGAGCTGTGTAAAAGAACGAAGCGCATCAGATACCATCGCATTTGTTCAGCGGTGGTGGTGGCGGGCGGACGCTCGGGAGACTGATTTCTTCTATCTTGCAGGTTAGTTACAAAGCCTTAACATTTCTTCTCTGTTGTGCCGCCTACCACCACCACAAAATCGCTTTTTCGTTTTGTCGTCGTTTTGCTTTGCTTGTGGGAGCTGCGTGATTTGAAGTGTTGTACATTTCGGGTGTGTACTGAGAATGGCAGCTTCTGCCTTGTGTTTAGTGTGCAAAGAGGCACTTCCCGATCCCGGTAGTTGCCCAATGTGCTCCGAATGTAGCTACGGTTATCACATTGGACCATGCTCAGGAGTAACAAAGTCTGCTTTTAAGACAGGCGACGAGGCAGTAAAAAAAGCATGGAAATGTCAAGCATGTGTTATTCTGGCTGCACGTGCGAACGCCGGCAGCGGGAAGTTGCAGCTGCAGCAGACATCTGACACTGGAAAAATACTGGCTGAAATAAATCGCAAGTTGTCGGAGATACCCACCATTAAAAGCAGAATAGATCAACTAATGCAACTGAAGGACACAGTCCAAAATATGGAACAATCTGTTAAACACTTGTCAGAGCAGTATGACGATGTACTCATCGAGATGAGGAAGCAATCATGTGAAATAGCTACTCTAAAGAAAAGAGTTGAAAAGGCTGAAGCAGCCAATGACCCTCTGGAAATTCAGAAGCTGCGACAGCATCTCAACTACTTAGAGCAATATAGCCGCCGTCAAAATTTGGAAATTCATGGTATCCCCCATAGCCAAGGCGAACAGTTGCTCGGTAAACTGAATAACCTGGCGAAACAGTTAAACCTTGCCGAGCTCACGCCAGCTAATATTGACGGCTTGCACAGGCTTCCGCCCAAGCCAGGTAAAGAACCAGCGGTGCTCGTTCGCTTTGTATCGTGCGCTACACGGAATGAATGGATGGCAAAGAAAGGCTATTTGAAGTCTTCAAAATCGGATGTCTATTTCTTGGATAATCTGACGGCAGAAAACAGGAAGCTTTTGTGGCTAATGAGGGCTAGGGCGCAAGAAAAGCACTATCAGTTTGTTTGGCAGAAAGAAGGAAAGATGTTTGTGCGTAAGGCACAGGGCGAGCGAGCGATCCGCATTGAATGTCAAACCGACTTAGATAAGATACAATAAGCTACTGATCAGTTTGTGACGTGTCTTTCTGTGTTCGCGTACTTTTTTTTTCTTTTTTTCTATGATGAAAGAATCATCTAGCATAAGCTATTATAACAGCTCTATTTTCAATTCTACCTTGCGGAGTCATTCTTTAAAGCCGAGTGATCATTTGTCTATTTTTCATGTAAATAGCAGAAGCTTGAGTGGTAAGGTCATGGAATTAGAAACAGCTCTGGAGGCACTAGACCATAAATTTGACATTCTGGCATTTACAGAGACGTGGTTTTCGTCGGTTTCTGATGTCAATTTTCTTGATGGATACAAGTGTGAAAGTGTCTACAGGAAAGGTCGTCGAGGAGGTGGTTGTTCACTTTATATCAGAAATAACCTGAACTACTTTGTTCTCGCTGAATTTTCAGCCGTTAACGATGATTATGAGTCAATTGATGTCAAATGTTGTAGTACCGTGATTGCGGCTATCTATCGCCCCCCTTCTGGTGATTTTCATGAATTTAGTTTGTCTGTTAGCAAGATTCTTGAGTACGCTACCATGACAGGTCTGTCGGTTGTTCTGATTGGTGATTTTAATATAAATTTATTATTATCCAATTCTCAAACACAACGTTTTAATGATGTCATAGAGTCATTTCATTGTTCTAACACTATAAACCGGGCCACTAGAATAACACCAGATACAGAAAGCTTAATTGACTTGTGCATAACAAATCATGATAGCGCTGATGTATTTTCAGGAATTCTCACTTTCGATATTAGTGATCATCTGCCAATCTTTGTTTTCGTTCCGCGCCCCAAAAGTAAAAACTGTCATGCACGCAGTGCTCCATTTTTTAGAAGAAATTTTAATAATGAGGCACTGAATGCATTTAGGTCATTGGTCGAAAATATTGATTGGACAGATGTATACAACGAGAAAGATCCGAATTTATCCTACAATTTATTTTTGCAGAAAGTTAAGCACTCGTATGACTCTGCTTTTCCACTACATTCAGTTAAAGGTAATCGAAAATCTAGAAAACCATGGGTTACTCGTGAGTTATACCATAGAATTAAAATGAGGGACAGATTATTTGACACTTTCATTCGTGTAAAAGACGAAACAATTCTCCGGGAATATAAAAAGCTCAGGAACAAGCTCAATTCGGATCTTCGGAAAGCTCGCACTCAATATTACCAAGATGTGTTTGCGTCGATATCAGGTGACCCCAAAAAAATATGGGCTACAATTCGTAAACTCAAAGGCAGCTCAAATATTATGATCCCTAGCACACTTATGTTTGATGATGTGGAATATACCAGTACTCCACTGGTGAACAAATTTAATGATCACTTTTTGCATGCTGGTATTGCAAATAATCCTGGTACTAACAATCTTACAAATGATCTATGTGGATATATATCATCTCACAGTACTAACTCCATATTTCTGTCTCCGTGCACTGCAGATGAAATTTGTAAATTAATCAAATCTTTGAAAACAGATAGCGCAGCCGGATATGATGAAATCAAAGCGAGACCAATTATTCATGTTGCTGATATACTATGTGCCCCGCTTTGTCATATATGTAATAGCGCGCTATCTACCGGGATCTTTCCTGCTAGTATGAAAATAGCCAAAGTTGTAGTCTTGCATAAAGGTGGATCCTTGAATGATCTGAATAACTACAGGCCCATATCTGTGCTACCTCTTTTTTCTAAAGTATTAGAATTAGTTGTAAAGTTTAGGTTAACCCAATTCTTGGATGAAAAGCGGGCACTTGTTGACAATCAATTCGGCTTTCGCAAGAATAAATCAACCGAGGAGGCACTGCTGAGTGTTAAAGAAGAAATAATTGAAAATTTTGAAAACAGGTTATTTACTGTTGGAGTTTTTCTTGACTTCAGGAAAGCTTTCGACTCTATAAAGCATCACATTTTGTTTCAAAAACTTCCCGAATATGGAATTAGAGGCGTTACCTTAGAACTGATAAAGAGTTATTTTTCAGATAGATTTCAATTTGTAAGTCTTAATAACATAAGCTCAGAGATGAAGCAAATAATGTGCGGCGTACCTCAGGGGTCCATTTTGGGTCCTCTATTTTTTATAATTTATATCAACGACATTGTGAATATACCACTTACGCCTAAAATGGTTCTCTACGCCGATGATACCAGTTTATTTTTCTCTGGTCATAATTTAGCTGACTTGGCAATAGTAACAAACAATTGGTTGCACCAGCTGCTGATTTGGTTGTCCCTCAACCAGCTCCAGTTAAATGTTACTAAAACGAAATTCATTGTTTTTAAACCTAAGAATAAACCCGATGTCACTGACATTTCTCTTCGTTTTGATGCTTGCGCTATTGAACGGGTATCTGTATTTAAGTTTCTGGGAGTATTGTTCGAAGAACATTTGAGCTGGACTCATCACGTAAACAAATTACATACTAGCATTTCCAGGTCCAATCGAGTGTTTTACAATATCCGGCATCTGGTTCCGACTTGGCTAAAACGTCAGCTGTACTATACACTCATACATTCTCAACTATACTACTGCCTCTTAGTCTGGGGTACTACAAGCAAAACAAACTTAATCAGGCTGACACTCCTCCAAAAACAAGCTGTTCGACACATAGAAAACCTTGCTTATCTTGACCATACAGCACCGTTTTTTTTAAAAAATGAGATATTAAAAGTGGATCAGCTATACTCCCTCAAACTTGCTACATACATACACAGTAAAATGCGTCAAAATGAATCTATGTTTACATACATGTACTTGACTAACCGCAATCCATATATTTTGCGACACAGCCACCTCGAAGTTCCGTTTTGCAGAACAAAATATGGTACTAAACAGCTAAAATACATGATCCCTAGTTTCCTAAACCAGCATCCAAAATTACTTAGCAATGTGTATGAAGTTTCATCTAAATCCCTGTTTAAGCGTGTTGTTAAATTATATTTGCTGTCTTGCGTGCCCTTCATAGTATGAGTAGACCTCTAACAACATGTGGCTTAAGACCTGTTACATTAAAGAACTCAATTCTACTATTCCTATATGTATGTCGTCGTCCCTTGCAAGTAGCGCTATGTCATGTTTTTTTTTTTTTTTTTTTTCCGTGCTGAGCTTCCGCTTTCTAATGTATAATTTCTTACTGATAGCCACAACCCTGTTGGACAGTGCTTGGGTGGTAGGGCCATTGTCAGGCAGTTAATTCTGCCTTTAGCCATACCATCCCTCGACATGTATTATGTTGAAAATAAACAATTCAATTCAATTCAATTCAATTCAAAAAAAATTAGTACGGAAGAGTAAGATGGTTTTACGAATATGACTCCCTAGTCATGACATGAATAATCTCACCATCCCGTCACGTACGTTCTCAAACACGTGGGTAGGTATGTCCCGCAGGTGATTGACACTTCATTTCTACCCAGGAATGGCGAGAACAGACATTCGTAAATTAAAGAGAGGGCTTTAAGAAAAATCTTGCATCCACAGCGTTGACCCGATGGATGGAAGGATTAAATGCCAGGGTGCCTGCAGGAATCGAACCCAACCATTCTGCGTGGCAATAATCTACCACAGAGAGGCGCCTCCTCTAAAATAGAGGAGGTGCTGTACAGAGCCACACCAGGTTTCGATACTAGTTTGGAAAAATACACTATTGTGGTGTTGCGCTGGCGAAACATCAATTAAGGCTGAAATGCTGACTATCCAATTTGATAAATACACATGTGCTCAGGAGGACACAAGTCCTCTTGAATTACGGGCACGTGTTATGCTACCGTAAATTAGTGGAAAGGAAATAGCTAGGGGTGTAGTTTTTTATACACAAGAATATCGCTGGCCACATATAGATACTATAGCACCAGTGAGAGGGTGGCAAGTATTGTAATAAAGTTTAACAAGTTGTACAAGATAAAGGTAGTACGCGTCTACATTGAACCATGATGATCATTTAGTTGAACGCTTTTATGAAGACGTTGAGTCAGCAATTAATAAAGTAAAGACACAGTAAACTATGCTGATAGGTGACTCTAATGCCAAAGTAGACAAGAAGCAGGCTGGAGACCATGCACCTGGAGGATATGGCATCGGCTCTAGAAATTCCAGAGTGGAGTTATTAGTATAGTTCACGGATTGTAATAATTTACGGATCTTGAATACCTTCTTCAGGAAAGAAGCTAACCGTAAGTGGAAGTAGCAAAGTCCCAATGGTGAAACTAAAAAATAAAATAGACTTCATTCTGTGTGCACACCCACGCTTTGTACAGGATGTAGTAGTTTGCAAGATCCGATGTAGTTACCATAAAATCGTAAGAGCTCGTATTCATTTATTTTAAAAAAGCAAAACTATAAAATGATATGCAAAAAGGAAATTATAAGTAGAGAAATTTAAAAAAGTAGAGGAATTCATTTTAACTTCAGAATAGATTCGCGGCTCTAAACAAGGTAACCGACATTAACGTTGGCACAATGAACGATATTCTTACTGTAAAGAGGGCTTATTGAAGGACTGAGCAAGCGGATGGTAGCTCGAAAGGAACGCAGGCGGACCAAGATGACAGTGCTCGATCGCCGATCACGTGCCTTTTTCTTGTGTTGATGATAGCTGACTTGATGGTATCAACGTCTTTCTTATCCACTATAATTACCCCCGGCGAAAAAGTTGAAGCCATTCTGGCAATCTAACACGTGGGGACAAGTGGGTCAAAGTATGGCTTCAGACGGTTTACGTGAACGATATCTTTTATTTTTATTTTATTTATTTAAGGAATACTGCAGACAGTTTTTCACCATCCTAGCAGGAGAGGGTTACATAAGGTTCCTAACACAGAGGTCAAAACTAGAAGAAGTCGGAGCATGCACGCAGTCGGAAGGCAGTGAATTCCAGTCTTCAATGGTTCTTACAAAAAAGGAGTACTTGAATGTGTTATTTTTAGGAGCATATGGTCTTACAGTTTTTGAATGATTTAACCTTGCTGAGCGCTGAGGAAGTGGAAGAATGTACAATTCTTTATTTAAACCAGATTCATTGTTGTATAGTTTATAAAAGAAGACTAACCTTGCAATTTTCGCCTACATTCAAGTGGTTCCAGCTCACATTAAGTTAACATTTCTGAAACGGAGGAGAGGCGCCTAAAGTCTGAAAAAATGAACCGTGCTCTTAGCCGCTGAATCCTTTCCACTTTATCTATGTCTTTCTTTAAATATTGGTCTCAGGCAAGGGATGCGTATTCTAGCACTGGTAGAACTAGGGTTTTATAGGCTGCAAGTTTAACTTTCCAATCACATGACCTCAGCTTCCTTCTTAAGAAGCATAGCTTCTTGTAGGCCTTGGCGCAAACGGTGTCGATGTGAGCGTCCCAACTAAGTTTTGTATTAATGGTCAATCCCAAATATTTTACGGAATTAACAAATTCGATACT